TCGCCACCCATGGCCGGGCGCCATGCCTACCTCGGCAGGGAGAGAGGCCAAGCTCAGCGAGGAGCCACAGCAGGGATTTGGTGGGCTGATGCTGTGGCTGGCGGAGCAGGAGGGCTGCCAGGCTCTCCCTCAGCTCAGGCTGCAGCTCTGCTTCCTTGGGCTGCCCAGAAAGTGCCTTATCTAAAACAGGGGTGAGGACAGCCCTGAGTCCCCCTGGTTCACTGCCCAGTGGGGGGCTGCCCAGGGAAAAGCCCACTTTGCTGGAGCAGCAGACAGCCACCCCAGGTACCCAGCTATCATGCATCACTGCTTTTATATAGGGACCTCCTGGTGGCCTGGTCCTTCTCTGGTGACTAGCCCATCCCAGGAGGTGACCTTTGCATTCCCCACATACCGATTATTTCCTTGAAACTGGTGGCATCCAGATCCAGGAGCATCGTCCCTTTCTGCAGGCACGTCCTCAGCTGGAAGAGGCTGTGCAGGGGAAGGGCTGGGACGTGGGGTGCACTCCAGCGCTCCCCACCATCCTCCACTTTCTCCTCAAACTTTATCCACCTGCCCGGGGAGATGTTCGGGGTCAGTGGCAGGATAGTCCCATGCCCTGTGCCAGGCAGCGGGAGCTGGAGCTTGGGTCCATCTCTGAGCTTGGCATGGGGCTGGCACATGCCGGGAGGGGGTGGGTGGGCTCACAGGACGTTGCTCCGATCTCCTGATCAGGGGGATTTCACCAGCCATGGAATCACAGAAGGGTTTGGGTTGGAAGGGACCTTCACAGACCATCCAGTCCCAACCCCCTGCCATGGGCAGGAACACCTTCCACTAGATCAGGTTGCTCAGAGCCCTGTCCAACCTGACCTTGAACAATTCCAAGGGTGGAGCATCCACAACTCCTCTGGGCAACCTGTCCCAGTGTCTCACCGCCCTCAGCATAAAACATTTCTTCCTTATGTCCAATCGAACCCTGCCCCCTTTCAGTTTAAAACCCTTGCCCCTTGTCCCATCACTGCAGGCCCTGGTAAAAAGTCTCTCTGTCTTTCTTATAAGTCCCCTTTATATACCGAAATGTATGGTCTCCCCAGGTTCTCCAGGCCAAACAGCCCCAACTCTCTCAGCCTCTCTCCATAGCAGAGCAGTTCCAGCCTTCAGACCATCTCGGTGACCCTCCTCTGGACCCACTCTCACAGGTCCATGTCTGTCTTGTACTGGGGACCCCAGAGCTGGATGCAGTGCCTCAGGGGTTCTCAGGAGAGCAGAGCAGAGGGGTTCAATCTCCTCCCTCACCCTGCTGGCCATGCTGTTGGTGATGCAGCCCAGGATACGGTTGACTTTCTGGGCTGCGAGCGCACAGTGCCAGCTCATGTCCCATTTGTCACCCACCAGTACCTCCAAGTCCTTCTCCGCAGGGCTGCTCCCAACCCACCTGTCTGGGGGTTGCCCTGCTGTTAGCAGAGCTTGCTGCAGTGAAAACAGAAGTGTCTTGAGCTGTTTGCCACACTTAGGCCGTGCCAAATATTTTAATGCTGGGTGCAGACAGAGCTTCCCTTTGTCCCCATGGGTGGGCGCGCTGCTGCAGGGTGGCTCGGTGTGCTGCACGGGGAGAGCGTGCTCTGGCAGAGCAGGCTCCTGCCGACAGGCAGTCATGGCAGGGAGAAGAGGGCTGGGTGCTGGGGAGAGCTGTCACAGCCACAGCCCAGTGGCTTTGCCCCCCCGAGACCCTCCAACCCCCCAGGGCAGACCCATTGCTGCCCCCAGACCCCTGCGACCCATGTCTCTGTGCCCCTGCCAAGCTGCGGAGGGGCAGTGTGGGGTGAAGGGACATCCCAGCCACATTTCTGCCCCACACCAGCACCCAGCGGGCCCTGGCTCCTCTCCATCAGGCCCCATCAGCCCCAGCCAAGCCTGCCCTGACCTACCTGCCCTGGCCGCCTCCTGAGATGTGCCAGGCAGCCAGATCTGGGGAGCATCAAAGCACTGTCCCAGCCCCAGCGCAGCCTTGGAGAGGCAGCAAAGGCAGGAGCAGAAACAAGGGCACTGTTCCTGTGCAGGGTCACTGCTTGCGCCTTGCCTGACACCCTGCTCTCTCCCATGAAACGAGTCACCCTAAGCCAGGCAGAAGCAGTGCAGGCACAAGCTGGGGCAGAGGGCAGCAAGCAGCCCTGTTTTGGGGCTGGGGCTGAGGCTGAGGAACCACCAGCCTTGGGAGATGCCGTGGGCTCCATCAGAGCTGGGCTTTCAAAGGCTGGGCTTCCCAAAGCATTGCCAGGCAGCTTGGCCATTACAGGTGTGCCTACCTGGCCGTCTCTCTCCACTCTAGCCCCGCTGGGGTGCTAAGGAGTTGGTTGAGCTGGATGAAGAGCAGCGGGCATGTGGCATCCCCCCGTTCCTCCTGCTGCAGGGTGGCACCAGCTTGCTTGGCCACTGGGGCCATGCTGGAGGGGAAGGTGCTGCAGCCGAAAGCCTGGTAGGGAGCTTCGGGGTTCCTCCTCTCTGGTCTGGGCTGTGAGCAGGCGTCTGCTACCTGGAGAGCCGCGCCAGCTGCCCCAGGCATGTGGGCTCACGTGGCCACCAGCACTGGCAGCCACAGGGGGGGGCTCCCCTCTGGAGTTGCCAGCACTGGCAGGATCCCACTCATCCCCCACCTTATAAAAGCTGAGAACCAGTTTAAACTGGCCACAAACCAATACACGGGAGCCAAGCCCAAGACAATGATCTCAAAACACTGGGGCCAGCCCCACGGGTCCCAGCGGGGCCAGCTCCTGCCACCCCCGGCCGCCCACCTGGGCCAGAGACCAGGGGACACCCCTGCCTCCTTCTAGTGACCCGCGGGGACAATGCTGCACTGGTGCTCCCAGGGGAGCAGCATGTCCCCAAGCCTTCCCACAACCTGCAGTGCTTTGGACTTGGACAGCAAGGCCAACCCCTGGACAACCCCGGTGGCAGCATCAGTGCCTGCGCCAGGGTGCCTGTTCCCATGGCTGGAGGGGTGGCACAGCCCTGTGGCAGCTCTTCCTGGGAAAGGGGATGTGGGGATGTGCACTGAGGAAGGATGTGTCACCGCTGAAGAAATCCAGAGTGGGGCAAGAGGGGGCTGCCAGTGGCGGGGCTCACGGCAACAGCCAGAAGCGCGTCAGGGCTGCGGCCATCCTGGCGTATGAGGGGCATCTGCAGATGTTGCAGCATGTGTGGGGAGGAAGGATGCAGGCAGAGCCGCATAACCCTGCCAGGCACAGGGAGATGGCACGGCCAGCATGGTGCTGCTGGTGGAGAGCAGTGCCCCATGCTTGCTTTGCCTGCGGCATGTTTGCCGCCACTGTTACCGGGCTTGGCTCCATGCAAACAAACAGACAGGTTGTGTGCAGTGCAAACACGGTGGCAGGCAACACAAACACCCAGCCAGCACAGGCAGGTTGTGCTGGAACCCACTGGCCCTGGGCAGGATTCAGCCTGAGGAGCAGCCCGGCACAGGGCCAGGGGCCACCGTGGCCCAAGTCATGTTTTGGGGGAGTGCGTGTGGCCGTGCGCCGGTCCCTGGGCTGCTGGTACCTGCCCTGCAGCGGATGGACTGGGAGCTGAGGCTGGATCTGGCCCTGGGGGAGGCAGGGGAGGGGCAGCCCTCCCCATCAACCCCACTATCCCGAAGTACAACCAAACCTCCCCTGTGCCCATCCCCTGCCCCATAGCTGACTCCTGGGGCTCCTTCCAGCCCCACAACCAGCTTCACTCTGGCACCAGCAGCTGCCCAATGGGGCCAGCCTCATCCTGCATCCCTTTAGTGCAGGCAGGAGAGGTGAAGGCAGCAGCTGACAGCATGGCGGGGGTGAAGGCACGCCCAGGGCACCCCAGGTGCCGAGGCATCCCCCGGCCGCGCAGCACCAGGTTTGGCTTAGGCCACCCCTGGCTCCTTGGAGACCCCCAGCAACTCTGGGAGAGGTGTCGGGTGGGGACAGGGTGGTGGCGGGGTGGGGGAGGAGCGCGGGGAGGGTTCGGGGCTGGGGCTGGGGTCAATGCCCAGATCCTGCTTCACTGGGGTGTGATTTCTCCGCGGATGCAGGGAGGGGG